GAGACAAGGCTTCTACCTCCTTAGCTTGAGAAGGGACAGTTCTGGGAGGTGAGGCTCCACGGGCCAGCGGAAACAGAGCCAGTGCCAATTCTGCTGGGGACATGGAGCCAGCATCCCTGTGGACGGGTCTCAGGGTGGCTTTGAGACCACCAACCACATGGGGCAGGAGTGGGGACAGGAGCAGCAAATGTAGGCGTGGCGCACCTCTAGTTGCTGGCTCTTGAGATCAGGAGTCCTTGTCTTCAAGGGGTCCGGTTGGAGCCAGTGACATCCCCTCCTGGGTGGATCAGCCAACCTCTATTTAATCCTGAAGGTCCATGTCTGATGTGCAGGGCTTGCGGATACTGGCTGGGCCTGCTCCACTCAGTCTGGAAGACAGACCTTCTGCAGCCTCACGAGAATCCTTTTGTCCCGGGAAGCTGCTGTCCACCTTGTATCTGTCCCAGATGGGCCCTCGGAGTCCGAAGGCTTAGTCTGGGCTCCCTGCATGAGCAGATGGGGGAGTGGGGGGTGGTAGGGCCGAGGAAGGGAGTTGGCCTTTCACTCCGCCCTCCAAAACTCTGGACAGGGTCTCTCCCTTAATCCAGACCACCTGGCAAGGCCAGGCGGTCTCTCCCTTAATCCAGACCACCTGGCAAGGCCAGGCTTGTGTAATAGACCCATTAGTCCTTCCCAATATCTAGCTGTGATGGGTTCCCAAAAGCAGCCTCACGTCTTGCAGGGGGGTGTAGGTGTCACCCCACTCTGCTGACTCATGTTGAGCCAACACGTGACCCCCGAGGAGGCCTTTAGGGGCAGCATCCTGCGCAGCTTGTTGGTTTCAGCCCAGAGATCCAGCCTGCAGAAAGCATTTTGAATCCCGTCTCCATCTACTAACCCCTGAGACCTCTCTCAATGTCGACCATACTGGAAAGGGCACTCACATCTTCAAGCAGTTGATAAAAATAACCCACGCCAGGTGACCTTCAGCCCAGACATCTTTGCTGAGAGCCTGACCGGTCCGGCCAACCGTCCCTGACGGCTCCTCCTGGATGACCTCCAGCCTTCTGACTCAACATGCCCCAAATAGAACGTGCTTTCCACACCCCCAACCTGCTGGCTCCCCTCCTGTCTGCTGGCCTGTGGAGGGCCCCCCTGCCCACCCAGGCTGGGACCTAGTGGCAGCTCTGTGGGCTCTCTCTGGCCAAATTTGTGACCCGTGGAGTGTCCCCGACATTCCCAGCTATGACCTTACAGTCCAGTGTAAGCTATGACCTTACACCTCACAGTGTCCTGCCAGTGGCCTGAAGGAACAGGAATACTCAGTCATGCCTGACGGGCGCAGAGCTGAGGTGTGCCACGCCTGCATTTGCTGCTCCTGTCCCCACTCCTGCCCCATGCGGTTGGTGGTCTCAAAGCCACCCTGAGACCCGTCCACAGGGATGCTGGCTCCATGTCCCAGCAGAATTGGCACTGGCTCTGTTTCTGCTGGCCGGTGGAGCCTCTCCTCCCAGAACTGTCCCTTCTCAAGCTAAGGAGGTAGAAGCCTTGTCTCCCTCAGCTGGTGCTGGAGCCGTTCCATGCTGGGCTAACGCGGTGCAAGATGAGGCTTTCTACTCCCGTAGAGAGTTACGGTCTCCGAAACCCACAGGAGCCATTCCGCCTTATCCCATAGCCTCCCCTCCCCATGGCCCAGAATCAACTCGATGGCAGTGAGTCTGGTTTCTGGCATCTCCTCAGGTCCCCAGTGGCTGTAAGTACGGGGGACTGGGCAGATGACCATGGCTAGGGCCCCAACCACCTTCCCTAGAGGGCTGAGGCCACTCCTTGATATTCTCTGCACGAC